TACAAGTAAACAAGCCTATGCATAAACGATACAAAGTATATTTGCAACATACGGCATAAAACAGACAACATACCGGTAATAATTCACGCGCCACTTTGGTTCCATATATGGTGCGAATGTTGTCCAGCCTTGTAGCCCCCTCATTAGTACGCACATCACTGGTCATCTCACCTTGCTGTAATGCACAGGGTAGTACAAGAGTCCGAGTTATTTATAGAACATGTATCATATCTGGGCTATATATAGATCACAGCTATATATAGATCACAGCTATATATAGATATACATCTATCAACAGTCACTGAGCACCTTCGCTCACGCACACACCTAGTGCCATGCGCTTTGTTCGTCTGCAATTAATATATCATCACGCCCTAACTCTATATAGATTCCTAACCCTAAACTCTAAAACTCTATATATACTCCTAAACCTAAACCCTAAAGCATGTCCAGCAAACAAACTCCAAACCCTACAACCTACACTCTACAACAGGCCTCTACGTCGGTATGACCACTGTGAGACTACCAATCTCCCATGTGCACTATTCACCTACACAGACACTCATCCACGCGTAGCTGATGGATAGGTTTTATGGTTTGAGGTTTTAGGGTTTAGGATTTTAGGAACAAGCACGTAGAAGGTACGTATACAGCTATATATAAACACATGGCGTGTATATATACAACTATATATAAACACATAGCAAACACCTTCGTATGCCACACAGTCCCATACCTTCTTAACGCTAAAGGCCACCCCTGCGTTGTGCACTGCATATCGTGAGATGACTTCGACTATGCGCGAGTACTCGTCTGTGATTGAACGCAACGCCTTCCGCCGCACAGTCATGTTATAGAACAGATCCTCCACCTGCATCACCGGATAGGGTTAAAAAGATCAGATTCGCTTGGATACTATTTATAGAACTCGCTCGCGTGGCTCCAGGCCTCGAGCCATACAGTCGTGTGGTAGAGCAAATCCTCCATCTGCATCATCAGATGGACATCAAACTCAGATTGGGTTTACCTGAATTGTCGTGCCCTTATTACCAGCACAGATTAAGTCTCTAAATCATGGTTAACGACATTAAAAATACTCGCATCGGTCGCATCCCAGGTTTGTTGTGCCCGTAATACCAGCATAAGCCAAGTCTTTAAATCATGATTGACGACATTAAAAACAATGGAATCAGTCACATACCAGGTCTGTCATGCCCTTAAAACAATCATATTAAAGACATTATTAACACTCGAATCGGTCGCATACCAGAATTGTCGTGCCCTTATTACCAGCACATGGTTTTGGGTCACTGTTTGCTCCAGGTTTCGCGCCCACCAAAACGCCATCGCTGTAGATGGCTCTGTTGGAATTGTTGGGGTATATAGTTGAGAAAA